TTTAAAGAAGATTTTGAGAAAAAAATGTTTTGGACAACCGGACGTTTTGCCCTCAATCGATTTTTCGGTATGTTCGACCCAGAAAACATGGAATCTGGCAACACCAAGTGTTAGAGAATTGCTTCTATATTAAGAAACAAGATTTGTCCGCTTTTTCGTTTCCAGGACCCTGTAATAAGAGTTTTCTGCCGAAAATTCGCCGTCTTCTGGGGCACGAGTACAAAACTTTCTCTTGTTAAAAAGTACCTTCATAACGGCGACAAAGTAAAAACACTTATGACTGAGTGAAGTAAATCACAGTTTTAATGTAATAGTAGTATTAATGTTCATTTAAAATAGAAAATTGTGAATTTTAGTGTGCAAATAAATCGGGCAACGAAGGCGGGTCGCTGGCCCACTGGCCGCCGAGAGACTACGCTCCACCAGCACGAAGCAAGTGGAGCCGCAGGCTGCTGGGCCGGCCCCGGGGGGCCCTCGTGTCGCGCCGCAGCGCCCACACCCCAATTGCGCCCCAAAAGTAGGGAGTTTTCTTTGTCGTGGGGAAAGAATGGGCAACACAAATGGACGAGACATTTTTGGGGCGTTTGGGGGGAAATTATTTTCACCCGGAGTCGAGATAGAGATATAACTCTCAAGTATTATGAATAAAAAAACAAAAACAATAGTCATTATTCTCTACCGTTTTTATGTATCCAAAAGATAAAAATAAACGACAGACATAGAGAAAGAAAAATGAGGAAAAAGAAGATCGTTTAGAACTTCGAGTAGCTCAAATGACGGTGACTGGTTGAATAGAATTATTTGAATTTAAGGGGAGAGCCAATGGAATAGTGACTTCGGGCAGCCAAGAAGTCATGACCTCGAGCCGCGGAAGGTTACGTATACATTAGCCAATGGAATCGCCAGGGACAGCTCGTGTTGTTGGTACATAATATGGGAAATATTTTTCGATTCAATGTTGGGCAATTTTGTTTCATCGTTGAGATTATTTGAGAACGTTCCGCAGAAGTGGAGGAGAAAACACACCTTGCCAGCCCGCCCCGCGACCAGTGCACAGATGGGGGCTTCTTGTAATAAGCAAAATCCTCGTATATCTGAGAAACACGACACCTTGGATCACAATACAGAGTTTATTCTAAGATAAGTGTAGAATTTTACTGCAATTGAAAGAAACTCGATGGCAGTAATTTTTGGAATAAATAGCAATATTCTGCTTAACCTAATGAAATTTATCGTGGCCTCACTCTGAGCGATGTTTTGGTCGCATTGCAATGATCGATCGGACCTCACACTGTGCAATAACGTAAGCGAGACGTTCGTTTTAAGGACTGGGCTTTTAAGGATGCAATGCGCAAACACAATTAACACAAGCGAGAAGTTTTGTACCCCTGTTTAATACAAGAAAACTCTGGAATTTAATCCCTTTTACAAACTTCACAAAGTCTGAGCGAACAAAGTCCAAAAATCACTCTAAAGAAATTAAAATCTAAGAACAATATACACTCTTTTAAATGCGAATTATATTCTTTTGCTCTTCTAAACGACACTGCTCTTCGCTTACGTTTTGGGGAAACGTTCAGATGTGACTGAAGGAAGTGCATTTTCACACTCAAGGAGTAACCCAGCCCTTGAAATTTGTCCAGCATATTCATAACAATTGTTTTATGGTCCGGATTCTTGAAATTACCCACAAATTTACTGACATCTTTGAAGCCAACCCAAGCTTCTATTCCTTTGTTATCAAGCTACTTTCAATTTTTTATACTTCATAAGCTTGCGGATATCTGGACCAACAAAGGTACCCTTTTCAACTTGTTTTCGGATAAACCTGAAAACTTTTTGCACAAGTACTTGAAACAATCGCCAATTTCCGATTTGGTCTCCACAAACTGCTTTATTTTACATAATTTTATAATATAAAATTAGCTACAATGATGAATATTATGTTGATAGGGTAACAATACTTTTTGGCTCAACCAAATTGTTTCGAATCAGATTCTTGGAGCCTGTTTCAAAATTTTGTCTTATCAGTCATTCTTTTTTGACCAATCACAAATGTCTTATCACGGCTGTCCCATTCCCAAATGAAAAATGGGAACTTTGTAAATCCGCCTTGTTGATCAAGAATCATGCATAACACTTTCAAATCTAATGGTCGAACTTTGGTCGGCACCTATTATTTTGCTGAGAGCCAGGTTTTCATGGGGTTATTTTAAATAAACGAATGTCCAACTGATGCAATGTATACTGGCTTCCGTGATGAAGCACGACTGCTTTAAGGCTCCTTTCCGATGAATCTATAAAGAGCCTCCATTCATCTTTATTGTAGGTGACAATACATTTGCTCATCAATTCGGGAACATCAGACAATATACCAGGTTCTCCTCTTACTCGATTCTTTACCGATAAAAACAGGTTCCTAGGGCCAATATTTTTTCTTTCAATCTAGAGGCCAATCAGCTGGCTCTTTCGGATGGCTTGAAAAGAAAATTATGGTAAACGTCAAAAAATCCAAGTAAAATTAAATGTTTCAAGAAAAAATGACGTAATAGAAATTTTTCAGTCTTTTTTTTTAATCAGTACCAAAAACTACATGAAGTTCACCTATCAATTCCCTTCTATTTTTTCATCAAAGGCCTGTATAATTAGACATTTCTATTTTATCGCCACGTTTGAATATCGGTACACCGACGGCTCATTTCGTCTTTCGGCACGCTCATGTTGTTAACAGAAACTTAGCGTTTCTGCCTTAGTAGATTTGGGAGATAGCCTCACGGCCAATATTGATACTATGTCACGAGGTCTAATCGGCTCCGTCCGATTTCTCATTTACTAATATATGCTTCTAGTTTGAAATAATTATCCATAGAAGAATGAAGTAATGGAACATGTGAAAATGTAGCTTTAGTATTTTCCTCGGTAAACGGTAAGTCATTTGTATCTCGAATTTCCCCCATCGTCCCTTTTCGTTTAGGACATGCATGTTGAACCACGGCCATTTATTCTTATCAGATGCGAGGATATTTTCCAAATATAATTCAGCTCTTTTTTTTACTTTCTCGCCCATTCTTCGTAAGAAGAGAAAGTAGTAATCGTAGGACAGAAAACGGCGAATTTTCGACAGAAAAACTTGTCGCGCCCAGCACCGAAAAAGTAGATAAATTTTCTTCCTATAGTAAATTATATAATAAAATATAGTAAATTACTTCCTCTAAAACGCTGTGAAGTCAGAATCTATTGTTTGTGGGTCCTTGACACCGCAAAATCGATTGATGAGAAATGTCTGTCTTTCCCTCTGTGTGTGTGGCCATCCTTGTGTGGGCAAAGCGAGCACCTAAACTGTTCTTACGATATTCTCAGAATTTGATATTCTTCGATAAATTTAAAGGAGCATGAGCTCCTTCGAATTTGAAACGGATATTTTGATTTTTGGGATTTTTCATGAAGCCTTAACATTTTGAAAATGTTTTCAACGATGGCTCCAAATTTTTCATTAAATTTTACAACGTTTTCGAACAGTTTTTCGAAACTATGACTAGTTTTCTCGTAATTTTGCTTGAAAAAGAGAATTTTAATATTTTAGTACAATTCTTTTTTCAAAAACGTCTTTTAATTTTCTCTTTAACTGTTCTCCTCTTATCTATCAAAAGACTCTACAAAATTGGTGCGAGTCTCATTTCCGGCGAACTCTCAGTATTTTGGAAAATTTAAACAAACTTCATATTTCAAAGTTACAAAGTTGGAAATAGAGATATGTTTACATAAAACAAAATAATTTCTAAAATATCAGCCCTTCAGAAAAGGTTACGTACAATTTTTGGAAAAACTGGTCGTTTTCGCTGAATTGCTGTTTGAAATTAATACTATATAAATAACATTTTCCCAAAAATCGCTCAACATTCTTTATTCAATTCCCCCCTCCGCGGACTGAACAAACATCACTAAATGAAAGGCGTAGGTCTCATTTTCTGTGAGTACTCTGAATTTGTGAAAATTGCAAATTTAGAAATCACACGACAAAGTTTGTACTGCACACCACTAATTTCGTTTGTTTTCAGTTCTGGAGATAGACTTTTGAAAATTATCATATACCTATTGTTGTGATGCCTGCGACTTAAACTTTCCTTGTTTTCTTGTTTCAGCGTTGATTTGTGAACTGAAATATTCCAGATCAGAATTACTTTTCAGAAACTTGAACGGCACAAACATTTCTAAGGCTTTTTCAATTGCTGCTTGCTGCACTCTTACGTATTCCATCATGCTCTTAAGAAATTTGCGTCATTGCCGCATTCTTTGTTTTGTTTCCTCTCTTATTTTTATTTAAGTTTAAACATAATTCAAAGAAAACAGATTTGTGGTCGGCAATTCATCCAAGTGGTCGCATGAAAAGCTTTCTGTTGCGATGACGAGGAAAGGATCTGACACTGCGTTCTGCGGGGTCGGTTGGCGTAATTCGAGATAATTCGACATCCCACACCAGATCAAGTTGTGGACTTTCCTTTGGCATGCCCCTGCCTTCCATTTCATTCCATTGGCCACGAGACGGCTGTCTCCCTGTGCCCTGTGGCTGATTGGTTCCGAACTTTCCTCACTGCTGTCGTGCGCGCGAAATACGCACAGTTTCATGTACGATAACATTGAACGCATTTTGTTGAAAGTATAATGTGTATATGCAAAGGAGGTGCACTGTAACACGAGATCTTAAATCAAGATATGTATTAATTAGAAATAATAAATTCCTTATATTATATAATGCAAAAACATCCTTCTAAGATTTAACATGATACTTGCTTAGCTGCAAACCTTAACAAAATTATCACCAAAAAATCTATTTTCGCAATTTAACTGATTTTCCGTTATTAAGAATATAAAATTGCACATCGAACGTGAGCCATCTCCACCCGTGTGCAGACATCCAGGGCTTCTTGGGGGGGCCACGTCGCGCCGCCTCGCCCCGCCTTGCCCGTCGCGAATCCCTTGATCGATCGCTCCTCCAAGGCCACGTGCGAGGGCCAACCGTCAACACTGCGAGTTTGAAACTGCTTGGAGGGTGGGGCGCAGGCGCGGCGCGTGCGTCGATACGGGCAGCGCAGGGCAGGGCAGGGCAGGGCAGCGCCGCGCCAGTCCGCGTCATGCGCCAGCGCCCGCTCCGCGCCGTGTCCCCGCAGGTGCTGGCCGCCGTCGTGGCCGCCTCCTTCCACCTGGCGGTGGGCGTCGCGCTGGCCTTCTCCGCTGTGCTCATCCCGCAGATCGAGGCGCCGGGCAGCGACATCCAGGTGACGGCGTCCGACTCCTCCTGGCTGGGTGAGTGCGCGCCCCGCCGACCCAACGCTCATTCTTCCTTACCCCGTTCTCCTTCTTTGTTTTGCCTTAAAAACGACTAGCTGGACAATGAGAAATGTTGCATCGCGGTTTAGAATTTAGTGTTCTTCTGCTCGACAATCGTTTCGAACTCTGAGTGCCGTGAACGCCGCCTGCGAGACTAGGGCACTGTCGTTCTGCAAAGCACTGAGCTTCAATATCTCTCTACTCTTTCATACTTCTACACTTGTGGGAAAATGCACAGTACGCACGACACTTCATTTCCTCTCCCTGTCCTTCGTCCGTGTACATTTCAAATTAGTTCTGATAGGAGTGGCAAATTGATTGCTGAAAGTCCGAAAACGCTCGCTCAGAATTCTTTTTCCGTCATGGCGTGCGCAAAGGCGAAATCTGCTCGACGACAGCGAGAGATTGCTTTTTTTCCGCCTTATGCGTAAACAAACCAGCCCCGTCTCCGGAAAAGCATTTTTACCACACCTGAGGATTTTACGCCAATCCCATTGACACTACAGTCGTGCACCTCACCCGGATCGAGGGTTCTCTAAGTTTGCAGGGTTGCGATGAAAGAATTTCATACGCGATTTTTTCCCCTCCGGTCGAGGAAATAACGAATTTTAAAGAACTTTTAATGCGTAACACAATAAACTTTATTTAGTGTTCAATTCATTTAAATGGACATTCCATTTGAGGATTGTCACACATATTGTCACCTGAACATCAGCCAATTGCATATTGCTCATATTCAGTGGCGTATGCGATTATTCCGTTTGAAATTCAAACTGCATTGAAACAGTTTTCCCTTTGTTAGCATTTTAATTTGTTATTAACTAATTCCAACCTTCTGAAATTGTAATAGGCCTAAGATCGAACCTTGCGGGTTCACAGGAACAATTAGAAAAGAACATGAAAGAAGAATAAAGAAAGTTGTTTCCTGGCCGTGCGGCGGCATATCCACTCTTTGCGATCGATGTTTAAGGTACAAGGATACCCTACCTAGGGCAACACCACGAATTCCTTATGATGGTAATTTCGAGACGGAAATCGTATGTAATGGGTCAACGCCCCAAGGGGCTTGGAGACGCATTGCGTCAATCCAGACTCAACGAATTTTTTTAAAAAATGACACCAAAATGTTTGGAAAGCACTAATAGTATTCCAATAGGTGCTTCTTTTTTATCCACTGATGAAGCAAGATATTTAAGATATAAATGACCGTATCCGAAAAATTTAAGTTTTTAAATCCGAGAGTTCACAGTCTGAACACAATTAGTTTTTCTAGACATAAGTTTCCAATCGTTACATTAGAAAAAAATCAACGCAAGGCAAAGAACACAAATGCATTACATCTACATATTCTGTCATTTATTGTCGATTTACAAATAATAATTTCACTATAACAGAACGAAGTGCTGGTATTGGAATTTTGAAGTTAAGATCCCCTCTGCTTCAAATTGTCAGTTTCAGTTATCCTGCTCTGGATTTCCTTTCACGCAGGGAGACCTACATACGTCTTATGTTAAGCCTATCCACATTTCTGCGATTTGAAAGCGATATTAATTCGGTGTGAGTCTGACGGTTACCAGAGAATTTTGTTAAGTCCCTGAATTTGGCTTAATCGGAAGGGATCCCTGCATAAGGCCCCATATTCTAAAGTAGGGTGCACAAGCAATGTGTATGCTGCATCACAAAATGTACGGGTTTCTACTATTCTTGCACGGTACGAGTGACCTGATCTTCCCAACTGAAGTCACTGCGTAGAATTTTACGTAAGTACTCGCAGGTAGAGACAATGTGAATCGCGTAATTACTTAATTTGTCAGTTTTCATAAAAGATAAAGTATTGTTATGCCAGAACATAACAATAGTTTGTCTTTACATCGTAAATACGTTGTAAGACGAGAAAGTAAGAGAGGACTGCAGTGATAATTCTTACGAAAGGCCATCATACCTTAGTGAAACCTATGTCTCCCCGATGGTTTGATTTATTTCGTCAAAAAAAGTAAAAACTAAATGTGGCGTATGGGAGAGATCACCTGCGCACGTTTTCTTGAGTTCCAGAACTCCTGCCCAACATCTTAACTATGAATGGTTGAAAGATGAATAAAAGATTGTAAAAAAAACCAAATAAATTAAAATATTTTTTTTTAAAAAAGCGCAAGATTAACATTTGAAAAACTAGACAGATTCGTTCCCGAGTTATAGAAAAATTATTGGAGACGGTAAAACAAATTGCAGATTTTATTTTCTGCATCGCTAACAAAATAGTACTTCGCCCTTACCTCTACTCTAATTAGAGTTACACAAAACGTGCGAATAGTGAAGCTACATTTCTGTCCAGAAGCAAAACAAAGAGCTTGCTAGCATTTGCTCAATGGATTAGGGAAGCTGGACAGAAACCAGAACGAGATAGGGGCCATTACTCGTTACTGGCATTTTAAGACTTTTTAAAAAGTTATAAAATGCAAATGTAAACCAATTCATTATATCTTTGTTTTGTTAATTTTTTTAATGATTAGTATAGTCTCTAATTTTACAAAAACAGTTATGCAGCAGATGCATACGGAGGTAGCCTGTTGTTGTAGAGAGTATGTCCCTGTTGGTCCCGGGAGGTTTTGTGTTGGTTTCGAACACGGGTCATGACGGCACACCTCCCGTTTACACGAAGCCATCACAGACAAACTGGATGAGAGTTTCGTACTAAGCAGGGAGGAGGTTGTTTTTCATGATTACATTGTAAAATTAGTCTATTTATGTTGGGCTAGGAACGTCTTTAAACATTGGTCGCTTAACTATACGTGTATTTGTTTCTAAGCATTTACAGCCTGTTTGCTAGTTGTTACGCAGGCGAGTTGGATATTGAAGGGTTGCATGAAGCCGGTTGGAGTGGCCGAGATCGTTAAGGCAGCTGTGCCGTAGCGATATTGTGTTCGTTCTTTCGCACCCCTATCATCAACATAACGTGTCATCCTCATAGTTACCATACCGTCAAACGCAATAGTGGTCGCTAACGTCCCAGTAGTTGATGCGACTTTAAATAACAAACAAACAAACACGGATTGCATGAATAAAAAGGGCGCACCATAGTCGAGCTACTAGAATTAGAACGGGGGAAAATAGTTGTTTTCGGTTCAGTGTGATATTTTTTAAACAAAAAAGCTGAAGTTTTGGGGTTTTGCGAGGCACAATATCCAATACTATGACCTAATACTGTTCGTCAGAAAAAAACGCACCCATTAACGTTGAGTGGGATTATGGGGAAGACTAAAACTACAACTTCAAATGAATACCGTGCTCACAAATCATTCCTAAAACGAATAGTACCAAGAGAGCTCCTGAGCAAGATAAAATCCATATTGATCTTTCGCCGATCCAGTAGTAATAAGTGAATCTAAGAAGATATTCGGCCTTGATCCGTCTGGTCTGGTCGACACGTG